GCTCACGAGTTTCTCTTGGTCTATTCTGAAACAGCCGGATATTTTTAATACTATCGATTTACAACCGATCATGTAAAGCACATATCATTAACTAACCACTATTTGAAGAGGTTTCTCTCTTGGTGCCTTTGATTGACAAGAAAACATTTTATTTTCAAATTCAGGTTTCATTCATACATGACACAACAAAAATAAACAATTTAAGCTGCGTGATTTAAATAGCATATAAGTATGATATTGGGAATATAATCAGTCAGGTGTTACAACATGGGCGTGATATCTTCTCTTTAGTTGAGTCTCTCTGGGAGTGACTCAAAATACTTACTAGTGTTGGCTTATTCAACTGCGTGTTCACGCGGTACATTGTATGTTTAGTAACTTATTTGTCAATCATCCAGAGTGTTAATAGGCCAGACATTTGAAACAACAACAACTCGGTTTACGAATCCGCCGACTCCAACAAATCAAAATTTGAAAGTGTAAAAATAACAGCTGAATAGCAGTGGGTTTATTTATATCAGAAATAAGTAAAATGTTAAAAAATATCATTTACTCTTGATATGAATATCAATAAACTATTTAAAATACTATATTAATTAAAACCTGTTGAAAATATGTTTTAAAGCTCCCTGGCCGATTTTTCCTTTATTTTCTAATTTTTGACATAACTAAACACACAAATTTCACCAGGCTTACTGTAGTGTAACATATCCGCCGTGGCAATACACCCCAACCACCCCAACAACAACTTAGACAGCACAGACTACTCCTGGGACGCTTGTTATTTTGTACTTGTCATGGTATTAGTCAGTTAAGATTACTTAGAATATGTACTTTGAATAGCAAAATGTTTCCCAGCTAAAATTTGTCTTTTTGTCGTATTTTATCTTTATTGTTCGTAAGAGAACGCAAGATAATGACAGTGATTAATAACTGTGTATTCTGTGCTTCTGATACATACTTCAGCCGGAGTTATCAGCATTAAGGTGTGTGTTTAGTGTCCATAGGAATATTGCTGTTTTTTCCCGTGCTGGCCTCATAGTTTACAAACATGTGCTTTTTGTCGTTCGCTAAGGGAGAACACCCGCCCCACACCTGGCGTACCGCTAAAGCACTTATCTCCACTCGTTGTGCTTCGCTTATAATTTTACTGCTCAAAGAGACTCGTCAAGTCTAGATTCTGTGTTCAACTGGTGATCGTGGTGGTCTGGACATTATTTCCGGAAGAAGCTGCATCCTTGCCGGATACACACTTATCCTATGAATGACGTGTCAAACAATTTCTCCAGCCGTATGAAAGTTCGCCGTTTAACAATATAGGGATAATGATTTGTACGTGAACAGTTGATTAATGTCGATATATGCAACCAACGTTCTATTTTTGAAATGTCGAAATGACATGAAAAGTAATTATTTGGTCACCCATTACGAACGCCCGGGGCGTCTACAGGTGTTAACACAAATAACGTATGGCGACATTCGCCATGTATTATGATATGACTTTAATATCCTGGTAAACGTCAAACCAGTACAGCTACATGACACTGTTTTGTCGGGAAAAATCCCACCACACACTGACCTAATTCAACGAACATCGTCCTGGCACATGCTGTATAATGGGCACCTACCTATAAGTCATGTGGTCAGGGTAACCCCCGGGTAGAGCTGGCCCAACCTACTCCATGGATGGCACATGCGACTACTGCATATCCGTGTCACAGTGACATTGTGAGTGGTGGTCATATGATGCCCAGAACAACGGCCTGCTTGACATATCAAGTCGGTTGTGACGCTTGTGCCCTAAAGACACGGAGTGCTGCTCACGCACCTGTGTAGCTGGTCACAGTGACTACCTTCAGACTACAGGTGTATAGTTCTCCGGGGGATATATACCACGGTATTGTCAATTGGAGATATACATCTGACTTGTCCCAGCTTGTTTGCTGAATATTGTAACAGCAGGAACTGAATATCCTCGTTTTTACAATCCATCGAGAAACAACATTTATATCAACAGGTTGACTATGTGATAACACATTCCTTTATACATATAACCATGCAGACATTATTGACACCTACCTCTCGACTGTGTGGTTCATGGCACCTCTAAATCCTATCGTATACTTTGTGCTTATTATACCCTTAGATGGGCTCAACACGTATGCGTCACTGTTAATATCCGCTTCACATCCTTGACAAATTGCTTATAATAAGACACGCACTTTTTCAGTTGAATGTTTGCCAGTTTTTCGGTATAAGTTAAACAGGGAATGGATGCACTGGAGCAAACTTTTACTTTGTTCTTCAGTTACCTGGTGCAATGACGTTCAGGACGTCTAGCATACCCTCAAAAAAGATGACACTATATATCTATTAATAGGATTGAATGTAGGACTTGGCTGAAGGCTGATTTTAATAGTATTTCAGGTATATTCTATGGTGTCAGCTTGATGTTAGATGTACGTCCAACGTGACAGGGGCTTTCAGTGACGAGGAGGACATTTGATGAATCAGTGACAAAAAGGATGCCAAATGCAATTCCCTTCTTTGACTTATATATGTCCCTGTGTTTTGTCAGTATAACATTTGACGTGCCCTTGTATGTGTTTGTGACGGTTTCTAGCGTTGGGGCAGGATACGCTCACTTTTTCGCGAATATCTGGTACAGTAAACTACGTTTATAACGAACACGCTTATAACGAACTGACCGATATAACGAACTTATTCTTTAGTCCCTACCATGTGTTGTATAAATGCTGTATATGTGCTTATAACGAACAACGGTTATTACGAACTAAAATTAGTGGTCCCTTCGAGTTCGGTTTAACCGTAGTTTACTGTATAACCCCTAGTTGATAGTGATTCATAAACACATGATATAGTCGGCACGACTCTGCGTTATTATGATCATGGAATGAATTTTATCTTTTTATTTAGACGTTTGTTTGAATATTATATGGACGTACACTGACAGTAGGTGCCTCTCAGTGACTTTATGTTGGTACAACCATCACTACACACGCGACCTCTCTCTTTGTGGCGTGCGCATGTTTCTATATGTAAGTGTGACGTCACGGCAATGATGCTGAATCATGACGTCATAACTTTGTGAAAATAATTAGACCTCGGTTTTAAACGCAAATGCCGTTCATTGGACATTAAGGATATTCAGACAATAATATTTGGCTCTTTTTCGAAACCCATCAATCCTTGCGCTCCTACCCTCCAGATTATTAAAAGATCGGTTCCTTGGGACATATTACGGGACACACTATTTGGGGAACCGGAAGTTGAAGCACCTTATCACTTGTACAACAGAGACATAAAGTTCCACATTAATGATTTACTATTGCAGCAACATAGAAGTTATTTTCTGGAGTTTTCGTAAAATAATATGTTTGAAAGTTGAGAGGTTCAAAGTTTTCCTCCGGTTCAAATATGCTCATTATACAGATATTCTTGTGCTTGGATTTGTCCGTCAGCACATCATCGTCGTCGTCATCATCATCAGCATCATCATCGTCATCAACTTATAATCGTTATCATAATCAGCAGCATCATCATCATCATCATCATCATCATCTCCACCACCACCACCACCACCACCACCACCATGGCATATATTTCGACACGAACGGTAATGTCAGGCTGTCAGGCTGTCAGGCATACGATATTCATAAATTGGCGTGTGTTGTTGAACTTAAGCTTCCGGTGATCTTATATAGTTCAATAATTGTCAAATAGCCAATTCCCTCCCCCTGATTTACGTACCTGAGACCCGTGAATATCTTGGGTAGAATAGGTCTTCAGCAAACCCTGCTTGCCGTGAAAGGCTACTAACGGGATCGGGTGGTCAGACTCGCTGACTTGGTTGATGATGCATGTCATCGTATCCCAATTGCGTAGATCGATGCTCATGTTGTCAATCACTGGACTGTCTGGTCCAGACTCGATTATTTTACAGACCGCCGTCATTTAGCTGGAATATTGCTGAGTGCGGCGTTAAACAACAAACAAACCCACCTAAGATAGACATAAATGGGACCAGTGAGACTGCCACATCTGTTTCATATTTAGATCTATGCATTAAGATTCAGAGCGACAAAACCTCTGCACAAGGCTTCACGACAAGAGGGTGTCCTCAACATTCCAATATTCATCTTCCCCTTTATGTCGAGCAGTATTCCAGCAGCTCCAGCCTTTGGTGTCTACATTTCAAAACGGTTGAGGTACATTCGCGCATGCTCTTTCTACGAAGATTTCAAAGAGTGTCACCCGACCACAACATTCATGGCATCAATAAAGCTTTACAATCATTATGTTTTAAACAAGTAAACGATATTTCCAAATGTTACGCATCGGTGACAAAAAGGAAGTTAGGTGCAATTCCCCATTTTGATTTGTACCTTTCCCGTTGTGTTGTTTTACAGGTTTACAATTGACTTGCCTTTGCATGTGTTTGTGATTGTGCCACTGGTGGGGCAGCTTCGCTCACCTTTAAGCGAACTCCTGGTATCGTCACTCTTTGATAGTGATTCAAAGACACCATAACCTATGATGCATTTATTGACGTGTATGGTTATGTATTCTGTCAGACAGACATGACAGATGCAGGAAGGTGTTACCTTATAACATAATATCATAAAAGTAACATTTCATTTAAGACCATATTTAATTAACTTAGTTACGGGTGCTCAAGGCCCTGGTATGGATTTAACAAACACTTCGCAGTAACGTTACCTCAATCAACGTACCGTTTCTCCCTAATCATAACATAATAGTACTCGGCAAATTATTTAGTTAGGTATAAGTGTTCATTACGACAGACATTGAAACAGATATTTCATACAACACATTTTGCGTTGCATAACGGAAACATTTTGTGTTTACAATGACAAACAATATTTTCAAATACGTATATGATACAACAAAAAAAGCAAATCCTGAAGCCGTGGAAGAAAACACGGAGTGAAAAGCAAAACAACTGTTCATAAACACGCAGGCATTCGTGACGCGCCTGAACACAACTTGTTGTGGGCGTGAGGGGTAAGGAGGGGACAAGACTTGTTCCCCTCCAGAGTGGAGTGTAGGAAATGTCATTGATATCGCTGTAGTCGTCGAGTCGATAATGTCGCTGATAGTGTTGTTGATGTTTGCTCTTGCAGGTAGGTGGATGATTAGAGTGTAAAACTATGCAATTATGATATACCGTTAACTACCGTTAAAGTTAAAAGCTATATCCTGAAACAAGTTATATTGACAGATTTGAAACAATACCTGCTGCATTTATTTTCCAATTTGAAATCGGGAAAATGTTTATATTTAGCATAAGTATTTAGTTTGTCGGGTAAAAGTCAAAATAATTTCTACCTTTTTGACCGACATAAACTATGTTATATTAATAAATAGATTCATTTTGACCGAATTTTCCAATCAATAAGTCAGACGGAGACGGTTCCAGTGAAGTGATTTTTACTGGATGTCAAAACAATCTGGTATGTGGTATACTTGAAGTCAATGCAGTAAAGTGTTGTTTTTCTTGCGGATCTGGTGTCAGTGGATTATCAATTTTTATGCACCTGGCTAGCAGGTTGACAAACCTATATATAGCTAGCGACTACCGACCCCCGTCGACCTCGCTTACAGGGCGCGGCATGCCGTGCACTGTATACAGCTTACTATACAGACTTTTCTTTCACGGGGCTACTACAGACTGACAAAGACCTCTATGAGCTGAGGATTTTCCGTGAGGGGAACAATGATGTACACATACACACCCAAAATTCTTTCACCGATTTATGGATATAGGTTATGTTCTGATTATACTAAATCGGAACATTCAAAGTATGTGGGAACCCTTTGCCCCATGACTTAGAAACGTGTTATGTATGTATTTTATAGAATGTGTAGGTTCATATTTTGTCAACATACAGTAAAGTACGGTTATAACGAACTCAAAGGGACTACTAATTTCAGGTCGTTATAACCGTAGTTCGTTATAAGCACATATACAGCATAACCACAGCAAATAATCGCGACCAAAAAAGTAAGTTCGTAATATCCGTAAGTTCTTTATCAGCGTGTTCGTTATAACCGCAGTTTACTGTATTTTGTAACTTCTTTGATAGGCATTTAGAAGTTGGGGCACTGAGTAAGGATAAGAATTTATTAAGAGCAACGTTTCGGTGTAGCTTCTAATCAAGTGATAACGGCGTTGGAACCTACACCGATTCGTCGCTCTTAATTGTAATAAAGATGTTGTTTATCCATTTATTTTTATTCTTACTTAACATATTTTGTAATGATTTCATATCATCAAACGTAATGTTTTCATTGTAAAGCATGCGTTTGTTTACTTGTAATAAACATGTTCATGTGTAGTCTTGCGAACTGACAAGGCAAAAGGGTTGCTGAAGCATACTTATATGTTAATCATGTTAACATTAAACACATTAATGCATTCATTATCTCTCCCAATTAGAGTAGAAAAGCGTTAATGTGTTTGGTTCAAGTCCATATTTTGTATAAGTAAGCAAAAATGACTCGGGTATGGGTACTGATGACAAAGATCCAGATTTTTAAGTTTTCCAGTGCTCTTGCCATTGCCGTCACATGAACCGTTGGATACGAATTTACATATCGCTTTTCCCAAAAAACATAAGTGTCAGCATATATCTATCCAAGTTACCCACATGCAAACATACTGCTATATACGGTAATCATACATACATGTAAACACATAGAGCGTCATGCTACAGACATGCAAACACATATAGCGTCATGCTTGTCCAGGCACAAGAATGTAAACACATATACCGTCATGTTACAGGCATGTAAATATATATACCGTCCAGACACAAGCATGTAAACATATATACCGTCCAGACACAAGCAAAGAAACATATATACCGTCCAGACATAAGCAATGAAACATATATACCGTCATGCTACAGGCATGTAAACATACATATCGTCTAGACACAAGCATGTAATTATATTTTCCGTCAAGATATGTAAACATACATACCGTCTAGACACATGCATGTAGACACATATACCGTCCAGACACAAGCATGTAAACAGATATACCGTCCAGACACAGGCATGTAAACATACATACCGTCCAGACACAAGCATGTAAACATATATTCCGTCCAGACACACGCATGTAAACATACATACCGTCTAGACACAAGCATGTAAACATACATACCGTCTAGACACATGCATGTAAACACATATACCGTCCAGACACAAGCATGTAAACAGATATACCGTCCAGACACAAGCATGTAAACATACATACCGTCTAGACACAAGCATGTAAACATATATACCGTCCAGACACACGCATGTAAACATACATACCGTCCAGACACATGCATGTAAACATACATACCGTCGGGACACAAGCATGTAAACATATATACCGTCCAGACAAAAGCATAGAAACATATATACCGTCATGCTACAGGCATGTAAACATATATACCGCCTAGACACAAGCATGTAAACATATATACCGTCCAGACACAAGCATGTAAACATATATACCGTCATGCTACAGGCATGTAAACATACATACCATCTAGACACAAGCATGTAAACATATATACCGTCCAGACACACGCATGTTAACATATATACCGTCATGCTACAGGCATGTAAACATATATACCGTCTAGACACAAGCATGTAAACATATATACCGTCCAGACACACGCATGTTAACATATATACCGTCCAGAAACAAGCATGTAAACATACATACCGTCCAGACACATGCATGTAAACATATATACCGTCCAGGCACAAGAGAGACATATATACCGTCATGCTACAGGCATGTAAACATACATACCGTCCAGACACAAGCATGTAAACATATATACCGTCCAGACACAAGCATGTAAACATACATTCCGTTCAGACACAAGCATGTAAACATATATACCGTCCAGACACAAGCAAAGAAACATATACACCGTCCAGACACAAGCAAAGAAACATATATACCGTCATGCTTCAGGCATGTAAATATATATACCGTCCAGACACAAGCATGTAAACATATATACCGTCCAGACACATGCATGTAAACATATATACCGTCCAGACACAAGCATGTAAACATATATACCGTCCGGACACAAGAATGTAAACATATATACCGTCCAGGCACAAGAATGTAAACATATATACCGTCATGCTACAGGCATGTAAACATATATACCGTCCAGACACATGCATGTCAACATATATACCGTCCAGACACAAGCATGTAAACATATATACCGTCCAGACACAAGAATGTAAACATATATACCGTCCAGGGACAAAAGAGACATATATATCGTCATGCTACAGGCATGTAAACATACATACCGTCTAGACACAAGCATGTAAACATATTTACCGTCCAGACACAAGCATGTAAACATATATACCGTCCAGACACAAGCATGTAAACATATATACCGTCCAGACACAAGAATGTAAACATATATACCGTCCAGGCACAAGAGAGACATATATACCGTCATGCTACAGGCATGTAAACATACATACCGTCTAGACACAAGCATAGAAACATATATACCGTCCAGACACAAGCATGTAAAGATATATACCGTCCAGACACAAGAATGTAAACATATATACCGTCCAGGCACAAGAGAGACATATATACCGTCATGCTACAGGCATCTAAACATACATACCGTCTAGACACAAGCATGTAAACATATATACCGTCCAGACACAAGCATGTAAACATATATACCGTCCAGACACAAGCATGTAAACATACATTCCGTTCAGAGACAAGCATGTAAACATATATACCGTCCAGACACAAGCAAAGAAACATATATACCGTCAAGACACAAGCAAAGAAACATATATACCGTCCAGACATAAGCAAAGAAACATATATACCGTCATGCTACAGGCATGTAAACATACATACCGTCTAGACACAAGCATGTAAACATATATACCGTCCAGACACAAGCATGTAAACATATATACCGCCCAGAAACAAGCATAGAAACATATATACCGTCATGCTACAGGCATGTAAACATATATACCGTCTAGACACAAGCATGTAAACATATATACCGTCCAGACACAAGAATGTAAACATATATACCGTCCAGACACAAGCATGTAAACATATATACCGTCCAGACACAAGCATGTAAACATATATACCGTCCAGACACAAGCATGCAAACATATATACCGTCATGCTACAGGCATGTAAACATACATACCGTCCAGACACAAGCATGTAAACATACATACCGTCTAGACACAAGCATGTAATTATATTTTCCGTCCAGACACAAGAATGTAAACACATATACCGTCATGCTACAGGCATGTAAACATATATACCCCCTAGACACAAGCATGTAAACATATATACCGCCCAGACACACGCATGTAAACATATATACCGTCCAGACACAAGCATGGAAACATATATACCGTCCAGACACAAGCATGGAAACATATATACCGTCCAGACACAAGAATGTAAACATACATACCGTCCAGACACAGGCATGTAAACATACATACCGTCCAGACACAAGCATGTAAACATATATACCGTCCAGACACAAGCATGTAAACATACATTCCGTCCAGACACAAGCATGTAAACATACATACCGTCCAGACACAAGCATGTAAACATATATACCGTCCAGACACAAGAATGTAAACATATATACCGTCCAGGCACAAGAGAGACATATATACCGTCATGCTACAGGCATGTAAACATACATACCGTCTAGACACAAGCATAGAAACATATATACCGTCCAGACACAAGCATGTAAAGATATATACCGTCCAGACACAAGAATGTAAACATATATACCGTCCAGGCACAAGAGAGACATATATACCGTCATGCTACAGGCATCTAAACATACATACCGTCTAGACACAAGCATGTAAACATATATACCGTCCAGACACAAGCATGTAAACATATATACCGTCCAGACACAAGCATGTAAACATACATTCCGTTCAGAGACAAGCATGTAAACATATATACCGTCCAGACACAAGCAAAGAAACATATATACCGTCAAGACACAAGCAAAGAAACATATATACCGTCCAGACATAAGCAAAGAAACAT